TGTGTCATAAAGCACTGAATGATCTGTGAATATGCGTAATCAAAGTCAGCAGCTCTGACTCACAAATGCTAATGGGACAAAGCAGCCCCTTCACCAAGCACAAAGACAATCACAAGATTTTTACATCAAATCACTCAAATTTATAAATACCTGTTTCTTCTATTACATTAGAATAACCAGAGTCACCTGCTTTAAATGGGATTTTCATTTACCAGAATAAGCAATAGGTCAAGTTCTACTGACAATGTTGGATGTTGAAAGTTATTCCATTCAGAACAGAATCTAACATCCTGCAGCATCCTGCAGCTCTCGCAAATTGATGCCTTAAAGTGGTACGAGAGAAAAACCTTGTGACATGTTTCAGTTTAAGAAATGATTTTAATAAACTGTATTTTAGTACGACCGGTTGGAGCTTTAATTAGAGTCTGTGTGTGTCAGCATGGATTTCAGTTCTCCAAGACTAATGATCTACTATTTCCATTGTATGAATGATAACATCACGGCTGGTTGGAGAGCAAGGAGAGGGCACATGAGTTTAGCAAACTACCAATGATGAGCATGAATAAAACTCAAATGAATCTTCTAATTAAAAGGACATATGCACTATACCCCTTCTTGTTCCGCTGAGCCACCCAGACAGAGTCTGATACTTTAACAGACCTGCTCTGGATCAGTCCTAAGGACTGTTTCTGCTGTCTGACAGGCCACTAGGCTCTGACTGTAATTTATACTATGAAACATAATAGAATTCAGATTTATATGAAAGATAGAGTCAAGCCAAAAATGAAGGACATCCAATTGTATATATTCAAACAGTACTCTAAACAAAAATGTGTCTTTTTTGCTGGGGAATGCTTTGGTTAACTATTTTGGTTGAAATGCCCTTATCAAGACACCTCTGGTAGCCATTAACCAGTCTCTGTTTCAGGGATGTCTGTTAAAGCCGGTTACATGCACCGCAAGAACCAAGAAAATTGTCCTTATTCCAGAGATCGTTTGTTTTGTCACCAAGTTCATCTTTGCCCCAAATTTTAGCTGTTGAACTCATAGATAGTTCCAGCATCTGTAGTTTCTTTCTTAAACTACAGGGGATGGAAACAACATAAAGTTCCATCACCAACACAAAGGCAGAAGAGGCAGTTTTTGGATTGATTGGGAGGAGAGCAAAACGTTTTATATCACTTAGACGATCATACAAATATTAATATTTTTTCACCATCTCTACCAGCCGATCCTCGAGCTGTCAGTCACGTAACAGATCACTTTAGGATCTCCACACCTGAAATGAGAGCAGGATTTTCTACCCAAAAAGAAGAGGGGAGAATCACCTCAGTTTTTCCTTCTCAACAACGGCCATCCAAAATCTGACTGACCGTAGAAGTGTTCTCCAACATGTTGCTTGATAAAAGATCTGCACAGACACTGATTGGAAAACAAGCAGGGATAACCTCCAAGATGGGGCTGCAAGAACATTAATACTTTGTTTTTTTCTTGCATAGCTGAGAACGAGAAAAAACACTGTTGCTTCTTGTGGTATATATATATATATATATATATATATATATATATATATAAAATCCATAATCTTTACTTTGTAATAAAAGCTGCTGGATGAGTTTCTTCCTTGAGCAATCAGTTTCAAATCACCCCACTGCATCTTAGGCAAGCTTGACACTAGGGTTTTGATTTGACCAAGAAATTCATACTTATTTAATTTTAGCCGATCCGAGGTAGGAGTATATTTGCATCATTGTCTTCTTGCGGGTTTCAGTTTAACTGCAGCATGATTCTTTTTTTCTCTGCCAAAGCATCCCTCTACCATGACAATTGGATTATATTTGCTCTAAGGTTATAGTCATGGAATGCTTTACTTGTTTCATACCAAACGTGCCTAATGCTCTGATATATTTGTCTCCATATGCCCAAAGAACTTTACATCAAGGTTTTGGCAAATCTTTGTTTCACCTTTATGTTTTTCGTAGACAGAATAAAGCTTTCCTCCCTTTACACCTCCTACTAATGTTAAACTTCCACATGTTGACAGTGTTGACTGTTTCCTCTGAGGGTTTATGGGGAAAAAAACATCTTAGCATCCTGTATTCCATCCTTGGTTTGAATTTGTATGGAAAGCAAGCATTTTGAGAGTTCTTCTAGATGTTCTCAAATTAAACTATTTTCCCTGTTTGACACAGTATAAGCTGCTATAACATTCTCCCGAAAGAACCCTCTGACTTCTCCATGGATCTCACCAGGATGCTCACTTAAACACTCAGGAGCAAACCAGACTAAATGTTTGAAGACTTAACAAGGTAGCAGCCAAATATATAATGTTTAAATGTAAAAACTAAAAAAGTTTAGGGAGCTGTAGAATGTCCTTGTTTTTATCCGATTTTCTGCGGCGATGGTGTATAAATTTCGCTTTTTACACAGATCAGTTTCCTTATTCATGGGGATGACCTGAAAGAATGCAGTGGAAACCTCCAAACTGCCAGTACTTAAGCAGAAGTTGTATAGCTTTAGACAGGAATATTTGCATTTTAAAAGCAATCATTTAGGTGGATTACAGCACTTCTTCACAGATAGTAATGTATATGGGTGCTTTTCTAAGGAGGAGAAGGAAACAACAGCTAAATGAGATGTGATGAAAAGCTGTAAAGAATTGGTTTGGCGCTTCAGAAATGTGCAGAATTAAACATCTTGTACATCTGATAATAAAAGTAATCTGACATGAGTGGAAATTAAAATTTAGCTAGCTTTGAAATCTGAAAACACTGCACTGAGGTCAGTAGAGATAATTCTACCTGGAGACTCACACAGAGAAAAGTTGCAATTAAAAATATAAAATTTATTCATACAGGTAACACAATCATATCTTCAAAATATCTATATCTAAGGAAAACCAGGTGATTGCAAGGACTCATTGACTCTCTGCAAACCCTTGCACTGAGCATGGACGGTGGACGGTGGAGAGTAAAAACTCTCTTTTAACAGGAAGAAACCTCCAGCAGAACCAGGCTCAGTGTGAGCGACCATCTGCCCAGCATGACTGGGGTTCAGATTATGACAAGAATAGTATAAGTTCTTTGGTCTTGAAAGAGGATTGGCCACGGAGGAGGTGCGATCCTTAAGCTGACTGCCTGGAGCTGTACAAGGGACATCAGAGAAGGTTCCAGTGAAGCTGATAAGAATCTTCCAGATGATTAAATTTAGTTTCAAGCATCATTAGTCCAGTTTGTTACTTTTTTGCACCTTTTCCTTTACCTCTTTACTGATCAAGCATGTCTTGAGAGAACTAAATGTAAAACTTTTGTCTATTTTATTACTACAGTATAACTGTGAGTTGAGCAACACATTAAGACAAATTTCCTTTGTAATCTAAGCTGCCTCGTTGTTTATAGCATACCTGATCAGTAAATTATTGCATAGAGTGAATATGTAAAAACAATGGTGAAGTGATCGTTACCTTATCTCAGCGTAACTTACCTCTCATTTCCATCTGTGCTTGTTATTTTTTTCTTGGCGGACCTGACTTTAACCAATCTATTAACCAAAGTGTGCAACAGAGTTGATCCTACAACAAGAGTGGACACCAGGTTAAATGAGGCAGAGAGCGGTTAGCGAGATGTTCTGCTTCATAAAGCAAAGCGGCAGAGCAAACGTGTGCTAAATCTGTAACCAGATGCTGGCCTTCATTTACCTCCAGCTGCACAGACACATGGGGAATTACCTCATCGGGCCCACGGCCCTCAGTGTTGACACAACCTCTGGTTCTGGCCTGTAAATAGCTTTCTTGCCCCGCTTAAAATCGCTATAAAGGCTTTTTTTCTTGAGAAAAGACAGAAGTTCTGGAGGGAGTACATCTATAAAGAGATTACTTAAATCCCCAAAGATACAGGGCTGGCTGCATTTAGGTATTGGCATCCTTGGTTTAAATGAATTAAAAGCTTTACATATACACATTATTGCAGTATGTGGTCTCACATTGTAGAATGGATTCTTCGTTTTTTTTGTTCACTGTTTATTTTGCTTTATATCTCAGATTAGAGGAGTGGGTAGTTGGATGGGTTAAATGTAAAGGTAAATTTATGCAATGTGAGATCAATAAAGTTCAATTATCATTATTATTATACTACCAACAGACTTTTAAAGGGCTTATAAAGTAGTGTTGCACAAATAGAAGACATTTGGAAAGGAAACAAGTACAAATGCAGAAAATAATTGACGGTAGGTGTCAGGAGCTTTTACCAATATAAAACCTTAGTTTTAAACAAACCCTGGCTGTGTGTCTTTGTCTCATCTAATCAATCTTAAAAGCTACAATTAGTCACAGTGAAGCCTTGCAAAATAGATAACCACGGTGTGCTTCCCAAACAACTGGGATTTAGTATATAGACAGGATGTAGCGATTGTTACAGCGACCCACTGAGCCCCAATTTGCAACATTTTCCTGCTCTGCATGGGTTGGCTGGATACTTTTTTTGCTCCAGCTTAATCTGTCTTGCTTCCGCTTTAATCTAAATTATCTAATTATTGCTCTAAATGTAGATGTGGGAACGTTTGGGTGAGTAGCTTTTTAAAATCTGAATAAGATTTCTAACTCGCCAGGATCCATTTGGATCCATCATATTTTGCTCTGTCTTTCCCAATTTAAAGAGTGGCAAAAGAATCGGCTTCTTGGCCACTGAAACTACAGGAAAACACCATGTCATGGATTAGCAGTTTAGTAAAACTTTTTGTAAATGTTCAAATTGACATTTATCTTATAAATATTAGCAGGATATAAATGATGGCACTGGCCAGAAAACAAAAAAAATAATACAATATTATTTTCACACTAAAAAAAATATAAAAGGTTTTAAATTTATTGCTATTTTGTGTGAAGTTATACTAACTTAATAAAACACAAGTTTATTTTTCTTTACTATGTAAATGGGACTGTACTGTTTTATATTTATGAAATTAAAATTAATCCAACCTGTACAATTAAAACATAAATACACATACCTCCAAGTTATATTTTTAATGAAAACAGACAATTCCACCTTCAGGTTATAATAGCCCATCTCAATCAACTGTTCAGTCAGAAGCAAACATCATCCTCATAAAGAAACTGTGAGAATGGGAATGTAAAATAAACGGTTCCCGTGCAACGTATATGAATATATAAAATATAAATAAGAGTGTATTTAGGGTTCAAGCCATGAGAACATTTTTATTCTTAATACTTTAACAACAGAGTATGTAACTTGAGAAGCAATTGTATGAAAATAAAGTGACTCTGAGTTTCCTGCAATCTTCACATGGTCTACATCTGTCATATGTAGCCAATAATGTCCTTGCATATTATGGGCTGTCTGCTACCCGACTTCATCAGAGCTGCAAAGTCATAAAAGTCTGAACCCAGCTCATTGATGCCTGAGTGGGACTGGTGAAAAAATGGAACTTTAAGATTTGACGGCACCACAGGACAGGACAGGCGCTTTGGAGCATTAGAAGCTCTGTTGAGGTGAGAAGAGTCTGTGGATCTCAACCTTACTCTGTCCTCCACAGTCTTAGAGAGACCGGACAGCTTCTTCCTCATGTTGCCAAAAAAGCCTCTCCCCAGTTTCCGTCTTGGATTTGGTTTCAGTTCTGTGGGTTCTGGACAATCTGGTAAGTCCATCCAGTTCTGTATGAGGTCTGCAAAACTATTGTCACCCAGAACCAGAGGCTGACGATTTCGCCCTCTAGTCAGTAAGGAGTTAGTCCAGTCCTCTGGGTCGCTAACTTCAAAGGAGGTCCACGTTTCGAGACAGGCGTCAGATGTTGATTTAGGCCGAATGCGTCCGCTTGGCGCTCTGTTCATCCGGGCACAGGCGGAGGCTGAAACACGCACGTTCCTGGTCCTCCTCAGAATAACACCATCATCCTGCCAGGATGCCTCTGAGTAACCAGAATCAAAATCCAAACTCTTATGGCTACATGGAGAGCGCAGATCTCTTCTGAAACTTAGTTCCAGCCTGCAGCTCGCATCATCATCCTCGTCTTCCTCCTCCAGGGGACTAGCTAGGCAGCAAGCGGAGTCGTATGTGCTGGCTGTGCTGGCTTCAGAGATCCGCAGGCGGGCACGCTGCTCTCGCTGCAGAGCCCGCTGCTGGCATGCCCGCGCCACAGCTGAGTGACGCACTAAAGCTGGTAGCTGGTTGTTGAGGGGAGCGAGGGGATGCCGAACTTGGGGGCAGGCTTTTCGCAGCTGCTTCAAATCTTGCAGTGACCTCATCATGTAGTGCATCTGCTCCTGCAGGCAGTCACTTGAGTCACGTAAGCAAAGCTGAGGAGAAAATAGAGAAAGGTTCACCGTACAACCCTTGACATTATTTCATAAAACCTACAAAGAAAGATTACAGAAAACTTCTACGCCTTAATAAGTTTTGAAGGTTTTTCAAAAGGTTACGTGGGCAGGCTTGGACCTGTTCTAAGTGACTAAACGTCTTTTCTCTTTATAATCCTACAGACCAGCTGACCTGCTGCATAAAGAACATTGTAGACATCATGATCAGACACGTCTATTTGTCCGTTAATTTACTCAACCGCACCAACACCTTGCGTGAACGCCTTGTCTTCAATAGACTCACAAGTGATTCAGCTATAAACCCCAGACAGATTTGATTATGCTTTAAGAAATTATTAGTACAGTGAACGAGAAATAAAGCAGAGCTTAAGAGGAGCACAGAGTCTAATAGTTCCGTATTTAGCTTCAGGGGTCCTGTTTCTCTTTAAACATGGAGCATTCCATCTCAGTTTCCTCTCTTACTTAAAGAGTTGATTAGTCAGAGTATGCCAGGAAGAGACTGAAGTTGCTCTCAAACTAAAACAGGACCAGTGGATCATCTAATATTGAATGTGAGAGGGTTTAGAATTAGGATTAAAGTAAAATCTGAGCTTATAAATCTGCAAATCATTCCTAAGTAACAGGATTTTCATTTAAGTTATTGGTCCTGAGACAGTTTGCAGTGTGATTCAACATTGCTGAGAGAAGAGAACTAGCAGGACAAAAATTATTTGAGCAATCGCGTCTTTTTTTTTTTTTTTTACATTTTACAGCTTGCAACCTATAAAATAATAGTGGAATAGATTAGATCCCAACTGCTGGCTGTGCTTAGCAGAGGTCAAATGAAAAGGGGGGTTTTCATTTAATTTTGATTCACCTTGAAGTGTTTATCAATACCTCATTCACTAAATACACCATTGGAAACAACATCACTGACCATATTGTTCACTCTTTTTTTTTAATCTAAAAAAACAATCCAAACCCAATGCAAAAAATGTCCCTGTGTGGTTTGTAAGCATGAGGTCACTTGGAAAAGTACAACGGGAACCAGAACGGTTAAACCAAATCACAAAATGTTCACCATGCAAATAAATCTAGTTTGCAGGACTACATATAAACAACTCTACATGACAGCGTGCCTGGAAATTTCCTGCAGGAAGCAGGTTAGAGAACAAGTTTTTTTTTTTTTTTTTTTAACAAACTTCAATTTAAAAGAATCAGAGCATCACTGAGCATAAAACTGCTGCAGAGCTGCGATGGCAGATGATTGATGAAGTTGGAAATAGGACTTTTATTTCTAACCATCGTTTTTAAGTCAAGAGCGTCTAATTGAGATGCATAAACTAACAAAATGTTATAATCTCAGTGCAAGTGAAGTTGAAAGAAAACTTACCATCTCGTTTAGTTAAGGTGCCTCAGTCACCTTCTGGAAATAAATAAACAAACAAAATGCCGGATTAATAACTGAACTTTTTCTGTAAAACAGGAAAACAGGGGGGAAAGGAGCAATAAACTTACCTTTGATGTGACTTTGCTTGTTCAATGAGTCTAAATCTTCCCATAAAGAAAAAATTGTCCAGCTTGGATCAGCAGTGAGGTTCTGGATCCAGTCTAGCAGTCTGAGTGAGGACAGAGAGCCGCTGAGTGGATATCCCACCGCTGCTCTCCTCCCCATACAGCCGCGCGCCCCTTCAGCCAATCAGCAGAGACGCGCTTCCAAATGAGCCAATCAGAGAGCAGCACTCTTAATGCCATGAGTTACAAACCTACGAGCTCTGTGGTTTGTTTGCTTTGCCTGCCTTCACCGAGTTACCCACACGGAGCTGTTAAATGTACCTCAAATTATACTGCAGAGCTATTGCTTTGTTCTCGTTTTTACCATCTTGCCTATTTGTAAAGCTCATACTTTAAATTCTATTTTTGTCTTTCAGATTTAACAGTATAGTTAAAGACAGCTCAGTAGGAAGACCTTAAGAAGATGCAGATTATCCAATGGAATTCAAACTTTTATTTTATTTAGAATAATTTTATTGTAAAATGTGGACAATCAAAGTTCATTTGAAAATAAAACTTTAAGAAAACATGAAAGTTACATTTTTATATATATATATCAATGCTGTATTCTTTCAGTACAATAAAACTTATTGTAGATAGCCACACAAAAAATGGCTTGTCATTATTCAGTGTTTCTATCTACATGGCTTTTTTTTCATAAACCCCTAACTATTCATAACCATCGCAATGGTGCCATCACAGAACTGATCTCACTTATACTAAACATTACTTACTGTTTTCCTACCTTATTACATGGTTTAAAGGCCCTTCTTCAAATGTGTTTACTTGGATTCTATATGGCTAAATTTGTGAGCCTTCTGGATGGATCTCTGGAACATCAGAAACAAAAAAGGTGGTTTATAAAAAACAGATCTTTATCCAGTAAAATCCAAATTGTTAAAAAAAAAACAGAACCATTTATTTTGGTTTCATAAAACCTGAACTGGCTTTTTTCTTTCTTTAGCAGAAAGCAATTTTGTAAAGTCCATGCTTCATTAACCTGTACCATATGTACCATTATAACTATCTACTTCAAGGTAATCGTATTTAAATAGCTGTATATCTTAAATTTGTCAACCAAATTTTGTTCCAACAAATTTTAATTCAGTATAAAGATTTTGCCTTACCTTTAAAGCAGTATTGCAAACAGCTTTTTTTTTTTTTGCCATCCTTTCTCTCTATTCTGTGACTGCTTTACTTAATTGTCACACTTTTTTCCTCATTGTCTGCACATTCATTTACAAATCCTGCTGTTGGCTTGCAAAAATCACTAATCTGAGCCACTACAAAATGCATAGATGCAAATGTGCACCTAAAATGAGCATTTAGCCTGTAATCCTGGTAGTCATTCAGTGCTCCATCTCTGCATTTAAAGCATTCAGAGGATTGATGCCTATGCTAATCTGACAGAGTTAGGAGGACTACTGCAACTCATCCTCGTTTTGGAGTTATCAGGGCTGACGGGCCGCTGTTTATGCGCAGATTTCTCCTCACACCGAATCAGGCATTAACATAAGCGCCAGTAACATGCCCCAACCACGTCATGCCATGTAAATAAAATAAAAAAAGAAGAAAAAAAAAAACATATACAGGATACAACAATTCTCAATCCAAACTCCATTATTATTTTTATTTCTTCAGATCAGCATCATACTATGTTAGCACATCTTTATTGGTGCATACAATCATCACAAACATTGAAAATAGAGTAAAAGAGCTACTCAGGGGAGTATCCTTGGAACCTTAATATCTGAGACATTAATCCAATAACCAGGATACCAGCAATTGTGGTTCAAGTGAAATGCATCACCCCACACAATATGAAGCAAATGATTTGCACAAGAGTCAGTTCTAATGGATCAGAGGTTAATACAGTTATTTACATCTTCAACCTTGCTTTCCTTAAGTCTTAATATGTTTTATTGTCAAAGTGTTGCTTGACCAAAACCAAAGTACAAAAGGTCAGAGAGGAACTCTTGCTTAACATCATACAGGTTGTCTATGTCCTGCCAAATTATTGTCACAAATGTTGAAGGATTAGGAAAGCTTAGAGCTCGGGTGTCACTAAAAGCAGCTTTGACATTTCTTTTCATTCTGTCCTATCTTGGTCTGTCCTGTTGTTTTAGGGTTAGAGTTAGATATTTCTTTCTTAAGGTCAAGAACTGTTGGCCATGTCTGGTTTTAAGGGGGAAATACTGCCTCAAAGACAAAGGAGTGTTAAAGGGGAATATGTTTTTAACACACCTTCAAATATGGCTGCAGATTATTCCCACTAACATATTATTTGATTAAAGTTAAAGAACAGAATAATGCCCTTATGAACACCCACTTTCACTTCATATGAAACAAGTCAAACACAGAGCTGCAGCGCCCTCTAGTAATGATTTTCTGTGGTTGCAAAGCTGGCTGTTTGAAGAACTATACAAATTTGCAGATAGTTGTGGCTGATGTTAATAAAACAGTTAATCAGTAATCTGCTGTTTTTGTAAAGTCAATTGAATAGAACAATATACATTATACAAAATATAATTTCTGTAATTCAAGTCAAAGATATTTCAGGCATCCTTTATGTTAATTTTGATAATCATTCCAAACAGCATAGAACAAAATGGTCATGTTACCTACGCGATCATTTATAGACGGTTGAGTTTAAAGTTGCCCATTCAACCCACACCTTTTATAAAGAGGGCAGGTTGCAAAAGCTAAAGAATCTGGTTCTTTACCGAGTAGCATTTAAATAGAACGTTAAGTGGAAGGATAAAGCCATAGAAAACAATACTACAGCAATACCCACAGGATTAAAGCAATGGGAAGCAAATATTTAAGATTTTACAAGATAGATTTGTGTGATCAAAGCTTCAGTATGCTCTAGAAGTAGGTGTATCACATGAGCTACAACTGTTGGATTAGTTATTTTGAGCTACTCCTAAGCAAAAGATTATGTCATAAGGGTGTTTCCTTAACTGAAGGTGAAAAGAGACCTAGATTAGATTGAAAAGAAAAAAACGGGGGTAAAACATCCAGAAACCAGGTTTTGCTCATAATTTGAGGAGTCTAAAAGTATGTACAGTGGTGCATATTTGCACCATATATATTAATGCTCTGAACTTCCATATCAATGCATTTTTTGCACAATGTTTTTTTTTTTTTCCCCCACAGTTGCACCTTGTGGAATGGAAATGTTCGTTTTTATAATACACCCTGTGGAACCAAAATGAGAATAAAAGGTGTCCAAGTCCAAGTCTATTTTTGAATAGACTTGAATAAATTAAATTGAGTTGATCTTCTGTTGGTGTTACTTGTAAACCTTAGAGCAGTTTATGCCTTCCTATAATGATGTTTATGGGGATGGTTTGGTCCTCTTTTTCATGACTTGTCCAGAGAAGTTGGAGGCTTCTACCAACACCCCAGGCTTATCCCCTAAAAACAACACTGCAATGATTCATTAATCATATCAGATTTATTTACTAAACTGAAGAACACAGGAAAGCTTGAAAAACTATCAGCTTCTTGATATGCTTTCAAATAAAACAAGTTCAGCTAATGCTGCACTTGCGCTTCAATCTGAGGTTCCTAGTTTTATCATTGTTCCTGTAACATAAACTTTGATTTAGAGAGGAGAAGAAGGAAAATAAGCTTTTCCCATAAACTGTTAAGTCTTTTCAAAGATTTCCATTTGTGGGCTACGTTATTAATGGCACGAACAGTACAGATACAATCACCCTATATTTTAAATAATTGTGTTTCGTTTTCCAATGAGGAAAAAAACTCTTAGTTTTTCATTAGACCTTACAGAGGAAACTTGGAAGGTTTTTTATTAATACAAAGGATTTTTGGATCACATGTCCAGCAGATGGCAGTATTAGTTTATGGAAGTAAATTGAGTTTTACCAAAAACGAATATTTAAATAAACTCTGCACTGCAAAACAACCCCTCAGACTTTGATTGAGTGTTAAATGTTTAGTTAGATACAATAATCAAAGCCAATAACACCTATGTACTGCTATACCATTCTAGTTGCATATTTAAGCAGTTTCACCACTCTTGTTGCTGAAGAGTACGGTATAACCATTCTGCTAAAACCTCCCAAGTGACAGGGTCTCTAGCTCTTTATTATTTTCAGAATTTTAAATCATGAGATTATAGCTTTAGCTACAACTGTAAAAAAATTGCATCAAAGCACATTGTGTGCATCTGGTACAACCGAATTAGAGACTGCCAAGTACGGGTACCACATAAAAATACAGACCATCATCAACTTTAAGAATATATTCAAAGCTAAATTTATCCAGTAATTCCAAATAATCCGAATTGGAAATCCTTGTATAAGGATAAGTGACGGAATACCAGTAATTATCTTTTGAGTCTTCATTTGTTCTATTTTGATTGTGTCTTAATGAAAACTAGAAATTTGACTGTATGATCTGGTTGAAATGTCTCTGTAAAGTGCCTTGGGATGACATGTTGTAAATTAAATAAACTGAATTGAATTCATGCCAACAACTTAAGCAGATATTTATTGAATGAGGATTAAAAAGTGGAATTAATACCAAAGATAAGCTTTTTTTTTGGAGGAAGAACACCAATAAGCCGTCCAAACTTGGAAACCAAGTCCAGTGGATTGTTTTTAATTTTTTTGGAATCACCAGTAAGGCTCTGCCAGCTATTTGCAGGTCATTAAATGACCAAATAACTTAAATAGGTAAGGATACAAACTAATGAAGGTGCGTCACCGTTCTCCCCAAGACTTATTGGAATAGCGCCGGCAGAAAGGAAGGAGCTACAAGATAACTCCAGTTCATTTAGCATAGTGACCTCCTGACGTTACCATCTGCCGTATAGGAGCTATAGTTTCCCAGAATCCTCTGCCTGACAGGACATACAGGCAAAGCCAACCTCACTGGGTCTAATAATACATCATTTGTACACATATACTGTGTGATTCATGCACATTTGCCCATCTTCATGTTTTGGGTTTTGTAACTGAGCTTTAGCTGGTTGCTAAATGTATACCTTTTCTTGTCCTTTTCTGGAAGGCCGTAATCCCAAAATGACCAGCATCATGAAACAGTTCGACATATGAGGCCTGTAAGGCTGAATTAAGCACAATAATCTGGAACTTCTTTTCAACCATGTTGTATAATTTTAAGGTATTTGCATTGAGCCAGTCTGCAGTTAAGCAGGGAGAGGTAATCAGGCTTTGGATCTGCTGAGGTGTTAAGGAAGCCACTGTTGCTATAATGGCGACATTGAGTTAGTAATGAGCATTGTTGGCTGAGTTGCTTGTTTACCTCTCAATACTCCACAGACTTTCTGTTGGACATAAAGTCAAATCCAACACGCTAATACAGAATAATTAAATAAAATTCAAAATTTACTTTAATTCAAAGAATATTTTGGACCACAACGCAACACTCCAGTACTTTTCTCCTTAGCCCTGGTGGGAGACTTCTTAAACGATCTCTTGTTCAGGAATGGCCGGGGTAGTTATGGTCAGTTGCTTGGCACATCTCTGTATCACACATATTCCACAACAAGATTCAAAACTGTGAATAAATAAGCATAAAGTTGCAGGAAAACATGAAAAGAAAACCCCAAACAAAAACAGAACAAAAACCAACGTGCAAGAGTGATTTCTACTTTATTTAAATTAAATCGTATAAGACCTTTCAAATCATTCTAATATTTTACCAAAAAATGCTAACTTTTTTCTTAATTAGATTTCCATCTCTCTTGAATAATCACTATATATTCATACATTATAGGCTGAGGAAAAAAAATACAAAGAAAACAAATTTAGAGGCAAAGTAGGAATCAAAGTATATCTAGGGAACTGCCCTAAACAGAAGTAAAAGGCACAAAACATACTGCAATAGACAGAAATGAATGGTAGTATAAAAAGTGATAGCATGTTAGGTACACATGGACTTTAAATACATGTTAGCATTTTGTCATAATTTTCCCCTGCAGGTGAAAAAAATGTTTTTTTATTTATTTTTATAAAAAAAAAAAAAAAAAAAAAAAAAAAAAAAAAAATATATTTTTTGAAATCATTTTGTAGGAATGTTAGAATAATTTGTGCAGATTACAGAGCTATTATTGGTCCTGTGGAGACATGCAGAATAATATACGGTTAAGCTTTGAATGATGAACTAATGTAAACATTATTTTTATTTTTTTATTATGATTTTTTTCTCTTTTTTTATGAATCTCATTTCATTTTAATCTCCATGCTTCTGCTGAGGCTTTAAAAATAAGCTCCACATCATTAAAACGTTCATAATTTGCACATCAGGATCTACAAGTTAAATTTAGGTGTTTATATAAAAAAATCCTTTCCCTCCTTAAGCAATTGAAAATAAAGGAAAAACAAAACAATCGAATAACAGATGTTGATTTGAGCCAAAAGAGCCGACAACGATGAGTGACTGGATCTCTTTTTGATGGATAATCTGGAAGGCTCGTTGGGTTTTCTGTTTCTTAGGTGTCTTTAATAAAAAAGAAGAGCAGACTGAAGCAGAATTGGACAGTGCAGTTATTCGTGGTGTATGTATAAACAACCCGCCGTCATGGTCATCAGAACTGTTCAAGTAATCTAAAATGACAAGAAAATATCAAACAAATCAGTGACATCCAAGAGGAAAAAAAGGATCTTTTCTAATAATTTTATTTTATTTTTTTACTCGCCTTGAGTCTTCCTCTGATCGGATTTTTAGAAGAGGCCGCAGTCCTTCAAGTTGTTCTTGATGATGACGTCTGTGACTGCGTCAAACACAAACTGCACATTCTCGGTGTCAGTGGCACATGTGAAATGGGTGTAGATCTCCTTGGTGTCCTTCTTCTTGTTCAGGTCTTCAAATTTGCTCTGGATGTAAGCTGCAGCCTCCTTGTAATTGTTAAGGCCTATGAGACACAATGTTTATCGTCAACTTGAGAGAAAACGCGCTAAAAAGGTATGATGTTCTGGTTTCAGTAGCAAACTAGTTTTCTTTTAAGCCCAGAGGGAATACGGTTAATCTGAAGCACTTTCTGTGAGTGTCAGAGTCAGCTCATGTGTTTACTTCCTGTTGCAGACTTTGGAAAATCATTGAGAGCTATGGAGACCAGTTGGCAATAATACAGTACCAGAATACTCAGGGAAGCAGATGGTCAGGGGGCTGTGCTCAATCTTCTTCTCAAACAGGTCCATCTTGTTGAGGAACAGGATAATGGACGTCTCTGTGAACCACTTGTTGTTGCAGATGGAGTCAAACAGCTTCATGCTCTCATGCATTCGGTTCTGGGTGCGACAAGTGCAAAGGATCAAGAGATTAGAGAGGAGGGCAGATGAAAGAAATTAGCTAACCGAAGCCTCAGCTGTCCTGTGAAAACTCTTCTAAGGCCGGGCATACACTGTACAATATTTTCAATCTTTGTATTCCGTCATAGCTCAAACTCTTCGATGAATCCACAGTGTTTAAAAGTTCACAGATCACAATGCATACATCGTGAACGCTCTAATGCGGTCTACGTGCTCACTGTACATCCAAAAACCACACACCGGACTCAGCGCTGAGAGATGGAGCTGGTCGGACTCAATTTGGAAGAACAGGAAGAAGAACTCCTTTGTTTGCACATGTGCAGAGCGTGAGGTTCTGGTAAATCAGCTCGTAGACGCTCATAAGTCTGCTTCAACAGCAGGATTTGCACACAAGCACCTTATGAGGGCCGAATGAATTTCAAACATGTTTGATTTTCTCTCGAACTAACGACTCCTGATCTGGAGGTAGTCGTGAGTGGCTAATCGGCCCTCTCTACCCTCTGTATACTACACGCAAGATGCTGAAACTCGGCTTGATCCAAAAAAATCATTGCACAACTGGAGAATTGGCCCAAAATCCCTTAGAGATAGGGTAAGGAGCTCAGTCATCCGGGGAGGACTCAGAGTAGAGCAGCTGCTCCTCCACATCGAGAGGAGCCAGTTGAGGTGGCTCGGGCAACTGATTAGGATGCCTCCTGGACGTCTCCCTGGTGAGGTGTTCCAGGCACGTCCCACCGGGAGGAGACCCAGGGGGAGACCCAGGACACGCTGTAGGGACTATGTTTCTCGGCTTGCCTGGGAGCGCCTTGAGATTCCCCTGGAGGGGCTGGCCCAAGTGGCTGGGGAGAGGGATGTCTGGGTCTCCTTACGGAAGCTGCTACCACCGCGACCCGATCCCGGATAAGGGGAAGAAGATGTATGGATGGAGGACCAAAAATTATACAGTGCATCCCCGGCTTAAGATGAGGTCATGTAACAGATTTGCTATCGTTTTGAAGTTTTGGAAACACACCATCTCCTCATCCTCTGCCAGCACCAGGTCGTAGGCACTCAGGGCAACACAGAAGATGATGGCTGTGACGCCCTCGAAACAGTGGATCCACTTCTTTCTCTCTGAACGCTGGCCGCCGACGTCAAACATCCTGCATGAAGCAGACACAGTGTTAATGAGCCACTTAATCAAGGCAGCAGGGAGGGCTGAATACTACATTTTATTTTACTTCATAGAAACTCTCGAAACAAAATACACAATCTTTCAAACTGACAGACAAACTGAGTGGCTTCAAGGTCTTTTCCTTGTCCTCTCGTGAGGACAGCATCTAATGTAAAAGCATCATTCCCCACATCTGCTGTCTTATTTTCTACAGTTTGGTTGCTGTGATAATATGACGGCCTAAAATAGGTGGAGGCTGGATGTCTGCAGGTCTCTAGATGATTAATTCATGGAGATGGAGGGAATTTGAGCAGAAGAAAGAGGATTCCTAATAGCCTGACATCTGAGGGCTTCATTTTGATTTTTAATACTTAAACTCCGAGGGCAATGGGGTGTGAAGAAAATGACCTTCTAAGGAAACTTCAGGGATATGCTCCAACACCTCAGTTTTCACTTTGCTAAACGTTACTCAGAAGATTGTGTTGGTTTTCACAGACCTTTCAGAGGCTGACTAAGAAGAGCTGACTCATTGCGACACAGTTTGGCTAATTTTCATCATTGTTTGCACCAGTTTCATCCATAGCCCTCATGTGAACAAATGAGGACACCCTATGACAGCCTGTGTCTTTTTCAAAAACATAAGATAATCAGAATTAACAACATAGAAAAAAAAGATACAACGATAAAAAGGTAACTTTCTGTAAAACATGATTAAGAAAAGCCTTGCCCAGTAAGTAATACCTTCAGACACCAATATAGGGAGCTAGAAGAAAATACTAAAATGTCTACAAAGGATCTACAAAAGGATCCTGGTACTGCTGATGTGAAAAAGTGGCTTGTAAATATAGAAAGAAAGCTTTTCTTCGTTTTGAGGTATTTAGGGGGGAAACTTTGGCCTTTAAGAAAAACATGAAATTCAGACAAGTTTGTGAAAGAAACCAAACCTTTCAACCAAATAACAAACCCTAGCCAATTTTCCTCAGCCATAAAATAACATGCATTTTTTACTTTTTCCTAATGAGCTAATAAGAGGTTAACTTTTTACACAACTGAGCACATCTAGTTCCTGTAGTGTTCAACTCTTATTTCTGTACATCATAACATACATACTCATTAAACAGGATACTGTACAATCTGCCTCAGTTAAACAATGCGCTGAAATACATCAATATACGTTCAGTTGAGACCCATCCTTGTCCATCAGATAAAAAGTACCATATTCTTAGCATTATATAAAAGCACTTCTGAGAAAAGCAGTAGAAAACTGAAAATTAAAAGCATTTTTTTCCCCTAAATTCACTAGCTGTAAGTGAAGATACAATAAAATCCCACAGACATCATGTCAGAGCGAAGTAACAAAAAGAAAACCAGTTTTATGGCTAATATTTATCAACTTGAATGACACTAATGGTACTTCCTTCCCCCACACCCCCCTGAGTAAGTAACAGCCAACTTCTGATGGCTTTTGTTTTAAAGTAAAGGAAGAGATGAGATGAAAAAGTTGGGTTTGGATCTTATTATTATTTTTATCAGACCTTATTTTGTGTTGAAAAAACTGAAGGAATTAATCTAAAATAAAAATAAAAACCCAGCTCAATAAAAGACTAAATATTTATTAACTATCAACTAATCAGGTTTAAAGATATCAGTGTATCTTTTCATGTTTTAAACTATATGTTCACATAATAAAAGTCAAATATTAAGTGAATCAAACACTATTTTTAAACATCTAAACTGTTCGGCCTTCTGAAGATGAACATTTACAGAGATTATAAAACAATGAGCTTTATTGATTAAAAAATGTATTTCCAACTTAATTTTAAAACAACCTCTACAATATATGTTGTCTGTTACGGCTGTGCTGCTTCTAAAGGTTATATTAAATAGGATTTTTTTTGTGTTTAACTACTTTTCAAAGAAAGAGCCCAGACTTTAGTCTTACTTGAAATGCAGGTCCTTGAAGGTGAAATGCGTTTCCACGATGCCTGTGGTCTTGACTCGGGTCCGCAGCACATCTTGCTGTGTGGGGATGTAGTCGGACTTGGCTATCCTCTCCAGGTCATTAAGGTAGCTGGGAAGCACATTTTAGTTTATATTTTAGAGAATATCAACGGGAGATCATTTACTAGATTTATGCAGAAAAACGGTTTGCTTTTTTTTTTTTAAAGAAAAGATTATAGATGTACTGTGATGAGTTTTTTTTAGTATATCAATTCTGAATAAAAACACAAAGCTCAACACAGTTATTAAATTTAGACCCAGATTAAAACTGTTTTAATAATTTAGCTTTACTTTACTTTAGCAAAACAATTGAACACATTTAAATTTAGTGGCAACTGAAGATGAAGCATGGTTTTATGTGGAATATATCTTTTTGTCATTTGACTATTTAAAGAAGGGGTCTACAATGTTTTCCAGGTCAAGGACCCCCAAACTGATGGCGAGATGGAGCAGGGACCCCCTAATTATATGTATTGTGTTATATCAAACTGGTCTTACAGTCACATTATTGCATATGGAGTCATGTAACGAAAGTTATTTCACCCTGGGATTATTAAAGTATTCCTGATTCTGATTCCTGGTTAATGGGACAGGTGTTGTGAATGAAACGGTGCCCAGCTTGAAAGAGCTCTGTGTGTCGCTGAATGTGTGCATTGATGACTGAAAGACATCATCCGCCTCCATTTATCTGTTTACTACAGCGTGTTGAATTTATGTTAATGTGTATTTAACGACATTTCAATTAGTGGAATAACTTGCAGGGGGGAAATTAAAAAAAAAAAAAGAAAAAAAGTCTAATCAACCAAAACTTTCGCGACCCCCATGCAGTACCTCTGTGGACCACCTAGGGGTCGCAGACCCCTGATGAAGACCTCCGCTTTAAAGAGTAAAAAGAGCGGGGATCCAGGTGGAAAAAGGGTCCCAGCGTTCTCGCGCTCCTCGCTCTTCTAGCTGGTTCAACTTCACGAGTTGTTTTCCACAATGGCGGTCATACAAACAAGACAAGCTAATAAGCGGATGTAGATTTGACCAATCAGAGGCTTCCTGTCTGCGTTCACCTACGATTGGGAGAGGTGCAGCAGAGTGCCTGCAGAGGGGGTGGGGACCTTTCTGTGACACCTATGCGGACGACCCAGTTTCGAAGGATAAATTAGCCTTAACGCAAACAAGGTAGTCAAATAATCAGCAACATGTGACATTACTGCACATCTGCCTTCTGTATTATTTGTTTAAGAAAGACATGCCATTGGAAAATATTGGTTTAACATAAAGATATGACAGTTTAGCTCACAAACTTTGATTAGCAGATAAGCCAGGCTGTCATATTTCTTTGGACATCCCTCACAGGAGCACTACAGCCACACAAGCAACGCAGCTGTGGATCAAATAAACCATCAATGACCTAATAACTACAATTTTCTATCTGTGAAGATTCTCAGTCATCCAGCTCATGGTTAGAAATGAAAAGATCAGTTTAGGCAACTGGACGTGAAGTTTTTTTTTTGTGTTTTTTTTTTTACATCTTTCTTATCTCCATCTATATTCTTCTGACAGCATAGCTGAAGATTCCCTCCTCTCAGCATGCCTGGTGCTTAAACCTCAAAGTAAAATTGGTGTTCAACCTATTATTTACATATATATTATACATGAACTGAGAATATTATATACCTGAATTGCTGCATTATTTTCAAACCTTCCTTTATTCAATATGTCTGCACTAAAGTCTTTTGTTGTTTCCATTAGTCTTGGAATAAGATACCTCCATGTATTTGACTTGTTTGACCCACAATTGACATTTGAATTGTTTAACCCACAACAGAAAATAAAGAAAACAAAATATTATTACAAGCCTAACCTAACAATAAATTTTCATTCATCAAGGGGATTAACATTTGTTTGAATCTGATCAAATATTGTTTGTACTAAATGCAGACAGCCTCTACTTTCTACATCATATTATGCAGGAGCTGCTTTTATTAGAAAGAAAACATTTCTTCTTTTAGCAGACACATCAGCGTTCTGCTTGATTTGTTCATCGTGATATAAACCACTGAGAAGCTGGATATTTCCAGCTGATGTAGTGTGAACACTAATAGTACAACTACATGAAGATTTCTCTTTGAATCCGTTCCAAATAGAAGTCTGCAGCGGTAGGAGGCGTGCTGCTTCTCTCTCCTTCCTTTCTCTGGCTCTCATCAAGTACTCAGACATTGATTAAAGCCCAATGCCAGACTCATTTAGTGCTCCCTTATATCAACCTAGTCTCTAAGCACACCATAAAACCTTGATGAAACACTGTGTATTGTCCACCGCTCCCTGCTGTTTTGACCAAGAAGCTGGAGACAAAAAGTTTAGATTATACTAGCCAACACAAACAGAACAATGCTGCTTTCCCAAGGAGGCGGCTGTTGCCTTTACTGCAGAGCAATCATTTCTGAAACATTTTACAGTCCCCGGAAAGACACAAAGCACAGCGTATAGAAGTAAGAGCCCCATCGACGGCCGGGATCAAAAAATAAAAACAGGGTAGATCCCTTATGCTGTAGCTGGCAGAAGGAGGAACAAAGATTTGTATTATCCAGACCTCTGTATCAGATCATCCCCAAGGGTCACAGAGATAAACATCTTTATTCATCTCACCCCAAGTACCACATTTACTGTAGTCTCTCTGCTGCTATTAAACCGAGCAGCATGGCAAACAAATGCAACACTCAGCAGTGAAGGGTTGTCAAGATTAAGGAGATAAAGCACCTCCATACATTGGGACTGAAAGAAATTCTGCAACAGATTAATATAGTTTTTAAATATAGGACCTTTTCAAAACTATGTCCTTTATTAAAAATGCTGTACTATGATCACTCAGGAAGCCTCCAGTGCCTTAAAATTCAACTCCCTTACATTAGGTGTGTTCTTTCAAATACATTTGCTTGATTATAGACCAATCAGAATTTATAGATGGTAAAAAAAGACTAACAGGAAAAGCAGTTTTCTTTATATTAAAACTTATTTAATTTTGAGCATTGTAATATAGTATTACTGTTAACCAAGAAATTACAATTATTAGAGAATTAAACTTTTGTATTAAAATCTTGCTGTTTTGTGCAAGCAATGACTGGTTTTAAAAGGCTGCAGCTTCAAAATGGCTACAGCTTTGTCTAAAATCGCTTTGACTGCAGGATGCCTTCTAAACAGCAGGATAAGTAATAGTTTGTTAAGATGAGCAATAAGCGTGTTTACAAAAGAGAAATTATTCTGCGCTTCAAAAATTTGCTCCCCTTTCAGGCTACAGTTGCAGGAACTCACTAAGCTGCGGAGTCGTTGAGCTGATACTCTCGGGCGCGTGTGAAGCAGCTCTGGACGCCGCCGTCGCCCCACAGTCGCTGGATGACTTTGGCCAGGTCTTCTGGCAGACTGCCCTGCTCCTCTGCATCTGCAGAAAGGGAAAACAGCTGGCGGGCATCGTCCTGTGGAGAACGGGAAAACAATTAGTGATATTCAAAACAATATGTGCAATAAATAAAAATGCCATTGTTTCATTATTTTTTTGCAAATTTCAACTTCAAAGATAAATTGTACAAAAAAACGTTAAACAATGAGAAAATGACAGTTGATTATTGGTTATAGTATTGCCTCCATTTTATCAACAGCCATTTATTAAGCTTAATAGTTGACCATGGAAGGAGAAGAATAGAGAAACAAAGCACAGACTTGGCTTGAATTACCTGTATTATCCAATAAATTAGATTTGGTGAGTGATTAGCACCGGGTTTCTTTGCCAAGATGCAAACTTGCTCTTATTTACAATGATGGATTAAATAAAATTTAAAACGTATAAAAGTATTTCAAATACATTATCTCAAGTTTCTTATAAAACAGAGAAAAAAAACCAAATAGGCCAAGAAATCCTCTAAAATGTTGATTTTCTTAATAATTTCTATAACCATAGTTAACACTCTTTGTTCTTTTTATGCTCATATAAACAACTACGGAAAACTCTTTTACTGAGATCAGAACAGCAGATTTCTTATCAGCGATATGAAAGGGCACTGGCTGTCTAACCTTCATTACACCAATGACCCTCTGTGTTTTTACTGTTGGACAATAGCTCACATAAACCTTTAGTGTTTGCTATGGAGGGCAGACTTCTATGTATCGGTTAACCATTATCAAGCCCTGGAAGTCATGTCAGCCGCAGCCTACAGGAGGTCAACTTGGCTAACGTAGCACACTGTGTGCACACTGCAGCAGTGAATATGTATTTGCTATGATCCCAACTGTTCCTGTAGGCTGATCATTAAAACATGAACTATTCAATTTAGTTGATTATTCACAGAACTCTTCGGTCAAAATGAAGGTTGCATTGAAGGGAAAAAACGAAGAAAATGTCTGAATTTAAAGAAAGTAATAAATGCTATTATATAAATCTTCAAATATTCAAGACTCAATTCAAGAAGAATTGCAATAATTTATATAATTCTATTAGAAAAAAGAGAAAGTTTAGACTGATTTAATTTAAATAAAATGTAATTTGAATGTACAGCTGGGTTCAGTTTAATCTATGGCTATTTCAATAGCTGTGATTGTAAAAATATCTTCCTATAAGGTACTCCGTCTTTGCAGATTGCTCAACAGAAAATAAAAGGTAGCCATCTTCAAAGTCTGTCCTGACTTTAATTTCTGTAAGAACTTAATTTAGGAGATCTGGATTAGCTCTGTGGCTTCAAGCCCTTTGAATAAATTTTGGACATTAAGATGAAAGCTTACAGATTTTATTAACTAGCAAAGATTTTATCTCTACATTAATGCTAAGAACTTTTAAGCGATTACCACATTAAATATAATCTCGATTTGATTTGAGAAATGTTTTTCAGTCCCAGAGAATATAACTGGATGGCTTTAAATCCCTACCGTTCTAGAGCTGTCCTCATACTCAATCTTGAGGTTGCCCATGGCTTTAATGATGGCCATGATGGACTGGATTGTGTTGCTGTAGACCACTGCTCGGTACTGCTTACACTCTTCTTCTGAGTAGCCATCTTCGTGAATAATCCTTAAGAAAAAAAAAAAAAAATTAAAGCATGAAAAGGCATGAAAAACCAGTGCCTAGAGAAATAAGTACAAATAAACATACATTGTGAAAAGTTGATGGTTTATAAATATCCCCCCCCCCCCCTGAAAATGTATATTATGGTTTGAAAACTTATTTATTCTCTGCATATTTAATATCATTTGCTCAAGCTGAGACATTTAAGTCACACAAAAAGCAAAAACAAAGATATTTTAAAGTAAGTGCTACTTTCCTTTTGATCAAAAGCTTTTTTTTAAATCACAAAGTGATCCACCAAAGGACACAAACATATATATATATATATATTTTTTTAGACTAAGAAATCAACAGGAAAACATCTCTTTGATTGAAAAATTACAGGCTGAATGGGAGAAAGCTGCTCTGCTGGTAACCAAACTGAACCATCTCCCCCGGTATGCCACGACCAAGATCCCTGGTAAGCTGTGTGCTGTGCTGAATGGCACCTGATTAAAATTCAAGTGAGCTCACAGTGAAACATTGTGAGCCCCTGCCAAAATTACTGAAAGCCCATGGTGGTTTCATCCCCATACAAACAAAACAAATGTGTGAAGCATTTAACATCCAGTCCTTGGTCTCTGAAGATGTCAATTTCCTTATAATAAAGAAAATGAAAAAGAGTTTACTTGTTCAGACAAATGTTTAAGTCAAATAAAGATATATAGATGGGTCAGCTTCAGGTAAGCTATCTAATTTCTATGGTAATAAAATAATAATCTGTGTTCTGCACCCAAACTATGCCATGATTTGTTATATGGAATTAAACCCATCCATCCATCCATCTCCTTCAACTTATCCGGGGTCGGGTCGCGGGGGTAGCAGCTTCAGTAGGGAGGCCCAGACATCCCTCTCCCTAGCCACTTGGGCCAGCCAGCTCCTCCGGGGGAATCCCAAGGCGCTCCCAGGCCAGATGAGAAACATAGTCCCTCCAGCGTGTCCTGGGTCTCCCCTTGGGTCTCCTCCCAGTGTGACGTGCCTGGAACACCTCACCAGGGAGACGTCCAGGAGGCATCCTAATCAGATGCCCAAGCCACCTCAACTAACTCCTCTCAATGTGAAGGAGCAGCTGCTCTACTCTGAGTCCTCCCCGGATGACTGAGCTCCTCACCCTATTTCTAAGCGAGATCCCAGACACACTACGGAGAAAACTCATTTCAGCCGCTTTTATCCGGGATCTCGTTCATTCGGTCATGACCCAAAGCTCATGACAATAGATGAGGGTAGGAACATAGATCGACCGGTAAATCGAGAGCTTTGCTTTGTGGCTCAGCTCTCTCTTCACCACAACAGACCGGTACAATTAAATGTTTGACAATTTCTTTATTAGATCAAACAGCCATAAGCAAATATCATGGGTACCATAATTTGTATCCAGGCCTGTTTCATCAGTTTATCATGAATTTATAAATGGGGAGTGTTAGCCTAGTGGTTATAGCAGGGCACTTGTGCTCTGAGGACGTTGCAAGGAGCCAGTTCAATCCCACAGCCTGCACTCTGCGTCCCTGAACAAGACCATTATCCCCACACTGATCCACTAAGGGATGGGTTAAATGGAGCTGTTAATTTCTCCAGTGTGAGATCAAAAAAATTCAATTATTATTATTATTACTATTATTATCATCATCATCATTTTTTTTTTAAATAATTCCGTTGAAGGATTGCTGAAAAGCAATGTCTGACTTTAATTGCGTCCTTTTTATGGAGTTTTTACTTATTACTTTTCTAAGAGTGAACTTATTTCAGCGACCATTGTGGGTTTTTATTGGGGGGTGCAGCAGCAATATTTTACACTTGTGTGTGCAGCTTCCTACAAAACATTGAAAATTGAATGATGAAAATTGAACATGAATATTCTAAACCAGTCTAATCCTGATTGTTTAAGGTCATCTCCACCAGGATCTGAAGTGTCATGCAGCCACTAACATGCATTAACAAGTACTGTCCTGTATTACTAGAAGCTCCATCTATCTTCCAATCAACTTTGAACAGCTACCCTGTTCCAAATGAAGAAAGGCGGACCCCGCATCATGACGCTGCCATCATGCTGCTACACTTAGTTGCTGTGTTGTTTTGTGGCAAATTGCAAATCAAGTCTCTGTTTCTTTTAACTTTATGTTCAATAATAGCCTGACTAGTAAATTACACAACTAACAGCCAATCATCCAATTAACAGGTCTTCCTGATGGGATAATTTCTTTATTATAAACTAAGGCTTTTACAGTTGACTCCTGAAGTGGCACTTTATTTTATTTAGGGCCATCAGAGTAAAGGGGGACATTTAGTGATACATTCACAAAACAACACAGTCAAATTCCTAATGAACGAAATTTCAGTCACAATGATATAAGAATTGAAATGTTTAGGATGAGTGAGTCCTTGTGCAAACTAAAGCCAATTTAAAGCTGCAGGTATTCAGTTGAATTGGGAAGTAATTTTTTACCCTTTAGCACAACGAACATTAGGGATGCTTTTACTTAAGCAGATATACTAATAATTCACCTGTAGCATGATAAATTGATAAATTTTTGTAGAATTTTTTATTTTTTTTTTCTAAATCAGATTTGATATTTTTCTATGGAATTTATTCCTTTAAATGCTATTTATTTCCCTGTATACCCGTAGGGTTGCAACTAACGAATATTATGCAACCTGATTAATCTGTTTTTTATTTTTGCAATTAATCAACTAATAATGGGTTAGGAAAAGATTCCTTAAAGAAGATTTTTTGCGAAATTTAAACAGGTGAAACTGAAACTTTTACACTTCAGGAGGTCTGGACAGATCATACTGACAGACGTACATTTTTGTTTCTATCTTAAATTCAAAATGTTATAATTACTGCTCTAAGTGGGTCGCTCTGTTAGCTAAAGGCATGTTATAGAGTCTCTATAATCCAGTAAACGATTAATCAATTACTAAATTAGTTGAGGATCATTTCAATAATCAATTCATCACGATTAATCGGATTGTTTCTCGTGTGAAAAATTATATCTAGGTAAATCCTTGTTAAAAAAGGATTACAAAGTTGCCAGCAATGATGGGAGGAAAGGCAGAACAATGAGCAGTTACTCACTTCATCTGCTTTACAATGGTGCTCTTCCCCGACTCACCAGCACCTGCACAAAGAACAAAAAGAGGCAGAGGTTAAAAATATGCTCCTGTAAGCTGAGAAATGTAAACAGGCAGCCAGCAAGGCCGTCTCACATCTGGACCTTCGTCTTACTCCAACACTTCTTCCCCCTTGCAGCTTTAGCATATTTTCCTCCTGGGTAAACCGTCTGTCTATACCCATACTCTACTTTCCTGACAGATGCTCAACTGTGTATGGCCAAAATTTAGACCACAGTATTTCATTTTCCATTAGGGAGCACCTGCTATAGTTTTTGTCTTACTCGTCTTTCAAGACAACTTAGTCAATACTGGTTAACATTTTCATGGAACTGTCCTGTCCTGCCAGGATATGGTTTTTCTTTGCCTCTGCTGTGTTTATTCTAAGAGCCTGAGGGAAAGAAAGAGAGAGAGCGAGCTCAGCTGCCAAAAGGAATCCCAACACTTTGCGCATACACACAAACACAGTCAGGGGTTTCTGTCTGTGCTTTCACCCAGAGTGAAGTCTCTCTGGTACGACCCTAAATACACACAACTAGGCTGCATGCAGGCCTCAAACGCACCACAGTGAAGCCTCAGGGTGGAAATGAGCCGAGAAATTTTCCACAGACAGCTGTCAGAGCCCACTTTTCCAAGGAACGGGAGTTTAGATGACTAATAAATCTGAATGAGGGCTGCATATGGTCACACTATTTGTGTTCAAATGTTTATATCAGAGATGAAACAGGAACTAAAGGAGGTAGAAATGTGTGCCATTCAAAGCCTGCAAACACAAATCAAACTCCTAATAGCTTTGAGTTTACAGCAATTTGCACAATAAAAATAACTAAGATGGAGCATCCCTGTTGTTAAACAGCAGATGGTACATATGAACTCTCAGAAACTGATAGAGTACTTAACATCAACGCGGTTATTTTGTCAAAAATGCACAAATGATGCACTTCTGACAACAGGTGAGAACAGATTATAGGGCCTGCTCTACATAAAACATTTAGGTTTGCAGCTGTATTGAAATGTGCACAAATAGTAACTCCATGAGCCCTGGAATACTAACATTGGAAAACTATTCCAAGAATATGAGGCAGCAGCAGGAGGGACTTTCACTTTCTCTTCATGCTATTCAAGGGCAATAATCAAGAATTTATTGATATAATAAAGGCTCAGCGCAAGTGGTGAAAATATACAGAGTAGTGGCAGCAGTTGGAGGAGAAAAAAATAGTATTTGCTTGCCACATAATATCGCTACTGCATCTTTACCAATAATCACAATAAACATAGTGAATTGTACAGAGTTAATGTTACAGTGAGTTAGTAGCATGGCATTCAAATGATTAGAACATCTTCACAGTAATCCAAGCAGTTTCAATGTGTGAATGTATAGTAAAGACCAGGAATGAAGAAACATTTGTGCAGGCTGTGGTTAAATACAGCAGTTGTTGGTGATCATTTTCTAAGAGAGAAACTTGCACTTTGCCTTGCAAAAGTATTTTGTGCAAAATGGAAAGCCTTGCTACAGCAGATGCCCCAATAAGATGGATAATTAAATCCACAATGCTAAATGGTCATAGAAATAGTTTGAAGCATCATCGTGAGTGGATGAAAATAGAGGAGTGAGAAAATGTGGATCTGTCACATCTCTCAGCTCACTGTTATATCACTGAACAGCAACATGACCAGTGCTCCAATATTAGGAAGGTGTATTTTGTATCATGTAAAAAAAACAATAATAAATGAATAATGAGAGCAATCAACGAGTTAAGGGTCAAAAAGATCTGAGGCCTTCTAGCCCAGCGGACAGACACAAACATACAGTCAGGGTAGGTATGTGTTTTTTAGCCCAAACACCCAACGCTGCTGATAAGGAGGTAACAGGCAGCGTTTGGCATGAAATAGTTGTTTAATTCATTCAATTAAAGTCCCCAAAACAATCACTCCAGATATCGCACTATTAGGAACAATGATTCTGCCTTTGGAAAGGCTACCGAACAATTTTTATGATTCAGCTTTATTTTTGTTGTCAAAGGTTTTTTGCAGAGGAAGGAAGCTTGAGAGCAGCTCAGAGCCTGAACTGTTGGCTGTGTTCCGCCGACAGCTGGACTGACATCAACGATCCTGTCAAAAATCCCACAGTAAACTATCAGGACTAAAACTGCCAATATCTCTGGTGTAGAGGGAAACAAAAAGCTGCAGCAGCTGACTCACTGATTTACTCTATGCACAGCAATATCAAAAGCATGCAATTACTTTTGAAACAAAAAATAAATAAATAAATAAATAAGACATCATCCCTTAATAAATATAAAGATTAGGCTTTGTAACATTGCTGAAAAAAGTTATTACAATACAAGTCTTTCAAAATAATCAATATTATTAATTACTTATTAGTGTTTTGCTCCCCAGAATACCAGGTGCTTCTGGACTGGAGTTCAGTGGAGTTATTGAAAATCTTATTAAATTAATTTTCCATTGATATTGATCAATTATCTGTTGCAATATATATTAATTTTGATTTATTTCCCCAGCCCTAATATAGAATAATTTATTTTGAGTTTAGAAAAATACAAGCTGGTAATACAATTTAGCAGACTTACAGGCTAGCATTACATGCTTATTGCATCGGACTGAATGAAGGCTGATCATTAGATTCAACTCAGAAACATTAAGTTCGAGACTCTTTAAGTTTAAAACATGAATGTGAGGAGGAATTTAAGATTTAATGTGGTGAAGTGATTCCAAGTTATCCCACAGCATAGTCATAAGCAGCCAGAGCAAAAATAGAACAGTTAGTATCAAGTATATTTTAGGAAACTTTTGTACAAACTAGGGCTGAATGATTTAGCAAAAAAATCGAAACTGCGATAATTTTTAACCAAAATTGCAATTTTATTTCAAATTTCCTTTGAATTAACCCCAAGTTTGCAGATATTTCAGCCCAGGATTTCAGTTCTAACGCTTCTTGCCCATAGTCCATTTTTACAGGAATTAAAGGTAACTATTGTATGAAACATTGTTTACTTCTACTTGCATGAGTGGATCTGCGCGCTAGCTACAAATCTCTCTACCTTTCTGTGTGGCCACTAACCCACTTCAAGAGTTTAATCACCACCTAAAGGGCTGGTGGGAGAAATTAAATGTCTTACTCTTGTTAAATATAGTGTGATTAATAATCATTGCCTCAAATATTTTAAAATTGTGTTTTGTTTAATTGGGATTATATTGCAACTATAATTAATTGCACAGCCCTAGTACTAACTAAGATGGATCCCTCAGAAAACTGTTAAAACAGCCAGAGTTTCTTTGTCAAAAACTTCTGCAGATCAAGACTGACCTCTGCAGAAGATACTTCCTGCCTACAAACCCATTGAAGAAAAAAAACTTCCTGCAACACTGAATTTCGCTATGGGATCATTAAAGTACCTTTGAAATCAATTGATCAAAAGATGTCAAAAAAGACCCAAATAACTACAGGCTGTACAGCAGTGGTCTTTGACAAAGACTACAAGAAATACCACAGCTTTCCCATAGAAACACACAAAGGAAAAGTAGAGTTTGATGGAAAATAACTCTCGCTGCCTGGCAACATGTAGGACAGTTGTTGAGTCAGATTCATGTTTAAAACTACAACAAAAGGTTTATTTTGGGCAATTAGGAAAGATATATGAGAATTATACAAGGCTGAGCTGCACTGCATGGGCATTGGTCGACCAAGAAGAGCATTTCTGGAGGCTCATTTATTTTTGGGTAATGATGTGATGGGTAATGATAGCCAACTACTGCCAGGAGGACCAAAAGCTTAGCTAGAGTCCAGATGCAGTAAGGATTCAGCTCTGGATGAGCCTGTTCTCCATACTAGGCATGGGCTGGTTACTGGTTTCACAGTATAAACCAAAAAGTCACAATTTCAAACTGTTGAAGTTCACATTCATCTTAGTGATACTTCCTTTTTTTTTTTTTTTTTTTATAAAATCCTTTAATAAATCAGAGAGAGTGATCAGGTAACGAGGAGGTGGCCGAAGGAGGGGAGTGTCCCAAACATCCCCCATGCTTTCACAGAGCCCTTGACATGAAAAATTCTGCAAACTGAAAGGTATTAAAGTCAGCTATATAGGAATACTTTGGCTACTACAAGATGTCCAATGGTAATGGCTTAGAGAAATAAGGTTGTCTTACGTGTGTACAGACAGCAGCAGCCAAAGAAAGTAATTTGCTAAATTCGAGGTATTTATGTTGTCTTAGAATGAATAAACTACCTTTAATGTCAGGCATTAGTGAAAGAAATACTACCAATGTGTAGCTTTTGATTGGCTCAAGTACCAAATCCCTTTGTAGCTGTAACCACGCACTTTGTGCACACTTGTTCATATAATTATTATAATTAGGTAGCTTATTGGGGCATTGGTGTATGGGAAAATCAGCCCAGAAGAAAATCAGCCCACAATTCAGTAAGAATATTTTTTTTCCTGTTTTCTTTAATAATTCGATAATTTTAGAAATTAGGCTGTAATAATAAAACCATGATATCTTTGCTTTAGGTAATCATACAGTCAGAAGTTCACACAGTGCCTTCTCCAGATGGTACGATGAATGTTACCGTTACAGAGCTGAGAAGAAGAAAGACTAATTTAAATGTACGGGTGTCATGGGATCTCTGATTAGGTTTTTTGTGCTTCACTAGGATCAAAATAAATACATCCACCTTTCTCGATGGCAGATGAGAAATTAGCTGCTTTGAGCTGCTGGGTAATGACATTTAATCAACCTTATCCCAGGGGAAATCTGCTTTCCTTCAGCTGTAAAAATCATTAACAAAAATTGAGTTTTGAAGGAATGAAGGCCAGGCAGTGGAAGCCATTGTTTTATTGTGTTTCAGTTTTTACCTGCATGAATATTTAGAAGGGGACAGAGATGTTCTGAAATGAGACTGATTAAGGGGCTTATACAGATTAAGACGGCGCCATCCGGCAGTATCTAACAATTGAATGATCAAATTATTCTCTGGGGATCAGGCTATTTCAAATCACTGCGACAGTCTTAGATAGAAATAGCATCTATCACCTACGGTAGGTTTTTTTGGCATACTGTG